TCTCAGGTGTCTTTAAATTATGCTGTGACAATCTAGTATAAACTGCTTTTGTCAATTACCTTTTTACAGTCTTGAAAGAAAGTGGTATTCCACTCCCTCCATGCACTGAATCAGTTAAACAAGCCCTTCTTATTGTTGACCTTCTATTTTTTCACATTGTTAATGTATGCAGATTGCTGCTGAAATTGATCGCACTGAATGAAATGGATGGTATAACAGATTCTGCCTGGTTTCAACATATGCCTTGTCTCAGACAAGGCAACTTACAACACAAGCGTAATCATTGCAGTTTGTGCTATCTGCTTGCTTGTACAAATATTTAATAGTCAACTTATTTCTTTACAGAAGATTCTGAATAGGTCTTTGTTGCACCTGAAATGTCTTGATATATTCATGTGTTTTGGCTTCATTCTATACATGTGTAAAAATAAAAAAATGAACAGTTTGTCAAGTAACCCCTTCAAAATTACCTTTTTTTTTTTTTTTTTTTAAATTCCTGAATAGAACTAAAGTTATTGTGATCAAAATGAGTTAATATCAGAATGGTCTGATGTGGCCCACCAAGCTCTCTTCATTTATTGTCTACCATTGTTTCCCATTTAGTGTTAGTTTTTGCACCATTTGAGAGATGTTTATAGAACAAGTGATGTGATATTACATCCCCACTTACAGCCTTTCCACCTGAATTAGCATCAGGGCTCCTCCCCTCGTCCCCTCCTCCCCTCATCCCCTCGTCCCCTCCTCCCCTCATCCCCTCGTCCCCTCATCCCTCCCCACAATTTAATACACTGCCCTCCCTATATAATACCCTGCCTCCCCTCCTCCCTATTCAATACACTGTCCTCCCTCCCCACAATTTAAATATAATACACTGCCCTCCCCACAATTTAAATATAATATTCCTCCTCCCTATTCAATACGCTGCCCTTCCTCCTCCCTATTCAATACGCTGCCCTTCCTCCTCGCAACCTTCCCACAATTTAATATACTGGACTACGGCTCATCTTCCCTTACCTCAAGATGAGCTGTCCACAAGTTCCAGCCCAGTCTGCACAATCTCTTCTCTGCTCAATCAGGTACTGCAAGCAGGAGGGAAGAAGTGAGTGAGTGGCTGGCCTGGTCTGCAGACAGACAGCCACTCTGCTTACTAAAGCGCCGCAGCCGCTAGGTATGACCTCATACACTGTTCATAGCCGGTGGCCGGCGTGGACAAATACTTTATGCTCTTGCGGCCGTGCCTGGTCGCAAAAGCAAACGACTGGCTGCAGCCCGCTGGAGCGCACGCTGATCGCAGCATACAGCGGTGCCCTGGGCAGGCGGCTTACCGGGAAATCTCCCAGTATCCCGGTAATCCAGAACGGCCCTGGTTAGCACTGCAGCCTGAAATGCAAAATTCATCTGTCTCTAAGGACATTTGCTTGAGAGAGGTCGTTTTTTTATGGATAGCCTTCTGACATGTGCTGCTACATTGGTAATAATGAGAGTTAATAAATGGGGGACAAAAGGGAGCAAGAGCTGAAATTAAAAAAATTATCCTACTAGGGGTAGCCAGCCTTCCGCACTCCATATGTTCTGCGCTCCATCTCCCATAATGCTTCACAGCCTAATGCTGGCAAAGCATCAAGGGAGATGTAGTCCTTAACATCCTAATGGCCAAAGGTTGCCTATGCTTGGTGTAGGGCATAGTGCAGTGAATTGGTTGTCTTTTTAAGGAGTGTCTCTCTGCACTGGAATTGTAAAAATAAGAGCATGTCTAAACCTGACTATCTGAAACATTGATTTCTGTCTTTACAAAAAGTTTGTTCTGGACAATTTTGATGTGAAGTATGACATTTAAGCATCTGTGTTTTTAAATGAATCACTGTAAAATAATTTTAAATCAGTCTACCCGATTACATTCAAATTTTGTGTGCAAGTTTTTATCCGATGTTTGCTTTTAAAAAATAAAATACAAAATTCAAATATGGTTAGCCCTACGATTTCTAACACTTATGTATTTTATTCACAGAGTTGCTGGCCACCCATTGGCGCAGAATGAACGATGCCTGCACATGTTTTTACAAGATGAGATAATCGATAAAAGCTACACGCCGTCCAAAATAAGACATGCTTAGAGCAAAGAATAAAGTGAATAACAATGACTGTAAAACATTTGGTTTTTTACATTTGAACATATCCTCAGCATATTACAATCTGCTGTAATAAATGTAACCTACTAACCTCCATTTTATTACTTTTATGTTTTTCATTTTATTCCAGCATTCATTTTGATTATCTTCATAAAGCCAAAACCATGGCGCTTTGTGGCTACAGACCTGGGCTGGATGTGATGGGTTGATATTTTTTTTTTTTTTTCATTTGAGACCAAGGGTTTCTCGCTGCTGATATGTCATATGTTTTCCTGATGCTCTTTACCAAATGCGAGCCTGTCCATAAAATATTGTAAGCACTGTTATGAAGTCATGTGACTCCTCATTGGCTTACAAATTGAGGACCATGACTGACAGTAGCTTGTTTATTCCAAAATGCTTTTGTGGAGTGTCAGTGTTAATGAGTTAAAAACAGTGTTTAGCCTGTGAAACTACATTTTTGACTGAGTTATAATCATTAGCTCTTATGGGCTTCCAGGAAAGGATAGATGTGTTGGGATCTTACGTTTATAACCCCAAACTCTCATAGTAAGTGGCTGAGTGGGTTTACAGTTTATTACCCTTTTGGCATGCCTGTACATCATAAATTCACCTGTAATAATCTAGCAACAGTTTTTGTGAAGCTGCAATGCATTTCCACTGTTGGTTTCCCCTTTAGCTGAATTTTTTTTTTATTGTTGACATCCAAATGTAATATGTTTGGCCTCCTGCTCTTAATGTAATATTTTACTAATCTCTACATGTTACTTTTTGAGCTGAGGCTGGAGAGATTGGTATCGTGTATCATGAGCCAAAGTCATCTCAAGATGTTTGACTTCTAAATAGCTTAATTTTAATAAATGGCTTACTAAAATCTACCCTTTTTCTATCTCACGCTGTGAAGGGATCAATGCATTTTAAGGGTTAGTTGCCTTTATGTATTTGGAACTGATTAATTCTCTCGGAGGAAGCAGGAATCTCCTTATTTTCACAATATATGTAAACCAGATCTGCTGCACTTCATACAAATCCTCTTAAGAGAAAACAGTTTGTTTGCCTACTAGCGTAAATCTGTTACTAAAAAAAAAATATTTTGCTGCATATTGTCATTCTGTGTGCTTTGTTTGTAATTTTTTATTTTTTTTTTGCACATTATGTCCACTGGTAAATTCTCTTTGTAGCTTGCATAAATACTTTATACTAAGCATTATGAAGAAATTACTTTATATAAAACACATTTATATGATTTGTCTAAAATTTAACATTTTTGAAATAATATTGTGAATAAAAAAAAAAATTTCAAAAAAATATTTTGGGTTTTAAATGCCAGGCGCATGTTTGCTACATGTTTGTTTTAGTATGGATAAGTTACTATGTATACTAGTATACTTTGCTTTATGAAACCGTGTACAGAATAAGCTCATTCCTTACTCCCGGGGACTGATCCAGCGCCTTTCCTCCACAACCTAGACATCACCCTCCTTGTCAGACTTTTCCTTACCCCTTTTCCTTACCCCAACAGAGCCATCCTACGCTCACCACCTTGTCCAGAGATTGGTATGAGGCAGACAAGCCCTCTGATCGACATACCTAAGAGAAGAGATCTGCAGGAAAATCAGCTTTACAAAGCATTCTCTCTACTGAACTGCTAAATCACAATAAAAAAAATGTCACCCCGTTAACTCAACCCACCAGTATATCTCTGCCCAAATAACAGAGGCAAGAGCTCTCAGATGCCCAATGGGCTCCTTCAAATATTACTCCGGTTACCCAGCCATGTGTAATCTTTTCTTATAATTTCATCATGTAAATAGTTACCTTTTTTGTTTGTTAGATCATGTATGCGCATAGCTACCTGGGTGCCCTTCTAGCCTGAAGTCTCACAGACACCTTGCACACAAAGGCATACTCCATTCGGGGCTAAATGCCAAACACTTGGTGCCCTTGTTCAACCATGCCAAACACTTGGTGCCCTTGTTCATCCTATAGGTCCAAATAGTAGGGGCGAATGCTCCCAGAGTTACTACCCCAATTGCCTAGCTAGAGACAACCTTTTTCTTATAATTTCCTTCTGTAAATAGTTACCTTTTTGGCTTATTATATAGTGTGTATGCACATAGCTATCGGAGTACCATACCAGACCCAATGTCTCGCACACACATATTCTAAACCCAAATTCTAGCTCAGTACGGGGCTTAATATAAAACTCGTAGGGCCCTTGTTCAACCTGGTGGTATTCAGGTGTCCAAATAACAGGAGCAAATGCTCCCAGCTGCCCGATTGGCTCATTGACGCACTCTTTTCGTGTAATTTCATGATGTAAATAGTTACCCTTTTGGCTTACTTTGAGAATGCACATAGCTACCTGGTAGCCATAACAGACGCGATGTCCAGTAGATACCAATCCTAAAACCAATCGCATGCTCAGTAACTAATGACCAACCACATGGGGCCCTTATTCCACCTGGTAGAATCTATTTGCCCAAATAATAAGAGCAGGTGCTCCCAGATGCCCAATGAGCTCCTTAATGCACTACCCCGATTAAGCGATCAGACATGGCCCTTTTTTATACTTGTAAAGTTACCTTTTATCTATCATTTTATGTATGCCTATAGCTGTACATGGATAGGCCCAATTTCTTGTATATCTGTCTTATTGCCCCAGAGGCACGCTTGAATTAGAGCTAAATACAGAGCGCCCGGGGCCTTCTGCCTCAGACTATCATCTTCCGGCCTATGGGCCCGCTGCACAATAATGGCAGTCCTACCATGCTTCACCATCAAAAATTATCCTCTGCAGCACTGTCCTAACCGACACAGCCCCACAATTCTCCACACAGCCTATCTATTGTTTTCCATAGATGGCACTCAGTGTTCCCAAAATATATATGACTTATACAGGTTGTGCTCTCCTCTTTAATATCATGCTAATTCAAGGAGCAGAAAAGAGTGATCCTTTGCGATATGGCTGATGCACCATGCTCTGCTGTATGAAAGCAAAAATACAATAGGGAATTGTTATGAGGTATACGCGTTGATACATAGTGGACTGGAGTGGTGGTTTGCTATCCCTGACTGGGTACCACATGTTCACCCTACAGGGAGGGTGCTCACCACCCTGTTGCTCTGGCAATGAGTAAGATCAAACCATCATATCTGTTTCTGTATATATGTATGATTAACTCTTTTTATTCCACAAGACTGGAGAGACACCAAGCTCTACTGCCCTCACCTTGTTCACCATATAAATATGCAGGCCTGATATTAGTGACGTCTAAGACCGAAATCTTCCGTTTGCTAATCTTATACAATATGGCCCTAATGATAGTATTCCTAAACGTTAAGGGACTCCCATTCCCAACAAGCGAAAATGCCAACTAAAAATAATAAATGAGTTATGGTAATTAAAATTTAGTTTTTTTGTTTTTGCAGCACTCTCATTTAGGAGTGCTGACAGAGCAAGGGAGCACTTACAGTGGTCTGCACATGCCATGGTAGCAGACTTTATACTCCCACTGGGACATTGGTGTGCTCAGTAGAGCCAGCATTCCAGCTGACTGTTTAATTCACTTTATGGAAACACTGGAACTCAAGACATAAAAAAATAGACTTGTCTCAAAGGAAGCCGTGTTTTTTGTAATTTTTGGGTAACTGAAGTTTAAAGCCACATCTCCCGGGGGGGCGGGGCCGGGCGGCCATGCAAGCAGGCTGCAAGACACCATGGCTCCTGAGGAATTCAACTAAAAATGGGCACATACCCACTTTACTCAGCATGGATCACCCTGGAAGTTCATGGTACGGGGTCCTGGAGTGTCCCGGTGCAGCTGGAGCACCTGATTTCGGGTGAATCTGGGTCCTGGTGAGATGCTCCGGGGCTTGTAATCTGAGGCCTATCCGGGAGGGGAGTGGGGCGGACGGCCGCTGCCTCACTCTCTGATCCGGCTAATGAACAGCACAATTGTGGCCGCCCCGGCACAGTTCACCCCCCCCTCTGGACCGGCGGGGGTTATCCCGGTCCCCACCGGGCACATAAATACCTGCAGTGCCCCTGGGCGACTCAACGCCGACAACTAAAGGCTACCACGCGGACCCAACAAAATGGCCGACAGCGACGCATTTAGCTAACAGGCCATCAGAGAAGAACCTCGCATGGCGCGCTGAACCTCACAACACACAGCGAGAGTCATGACAGCCTCTGGAGTTATTCTGCAATGGCAACCCCCCAGCAGCAGGCGTGTGCCTACCCCAACTGTGCACACCCCACCGGAGCTCCCTATAACTAAGACCACAGACTAACACTGAGTGAGTACCCGGAAAGATCATCCGCACACAACAACTCCATCACACCGCTACCCGCACCTGGACACTGTAGCCAATAAAGCACCACACCCGTACTCACTTACCGACCGGGTGGTGGGAACACGGCGATGCATGGACACTTTGCCCTGCAGCGGGTGCTCGGGACTCAAAGGACTCTGGGGTGCCTGTGCCTGTGCCGGAAAGCGGGATCCCTACTGGAGCCATTCCTGAAGCCGACAGCTGCCGCATGACGAAAGGCGACTAAGGCGCACACCACAGGACTCATCACCGACAGCCTTAACAGAAGACACCCTGGCTGTAGTAACCACTAAACTGACTTATCTGCTGCCAACAGTTGAGGTTACAGTACATGTTGGTTTCGACACCCTGCTTATCGCTGTCAATAACCCAGTAAGCCACAGTCTGCCTGGTGGTACATTACCTAAGCGAGTACCTTAACTAAGCTATTCTTCTATAAAAGCGCCCGTATACACATCAGTAATCTATACACTTAAATAAGTGCGCATTCAGTCTCTGGTCCCCAGCAGACCCCTAGCGTAATCCCTTAGAATGAGCGATGATTGTACTTAAATATTAGCAACATGATTTAAAGAGCCCAAGTATACTAATATCTATTCTTAAAGCGAGCCAGGTAATCACTGTGCGTACCCTGCTTTGCCAACACTTATGAGCTCTCTCCACTGTGACACCTATTGAACCTGTTAATTAAAACCCAAACTGTGCAGTGAAACAGACATATGTTAATGTTATGCTCTCTCATGATCAATGTCTATGTACATCTGTAAACCTTGCAATGCACAACAAAAATAAAGAATTATAAAAAAAAAAGCCACATCTCCCTATGTAAAAAAAATAATAATAATAAAGGAACACTATGCAAAATCTTTTTTTTTTTATTTTTTTTAATCACACTAACACATAAATGTTCCATTATCGAAACAGTCTATTCTCTCAGAGGCATCAGCAGTTTTCAGCATTGTGCTGCTCTGCGTGATAACTGTGAAGTACTTTGAAAATCGAGAAAATCGGAAGTGGCATTATGGCTGTCTCCATTTCTGAGTATGTTAATTTTAAGGAGTCATGAACGCCCCAGGTTCATTGTTTGGCAAGGTCAGAAGCTAGCTTTTCTTGCTTATTTGAATGAGTGCAGTTAGTTATCCTTTTGCAGATGTTTGCTTTTCGGCATGTGCCTGTCCCTTGAGACGGGAGCCTATGTTAAGTAGAACTTCTCAAATAATGTTTTTATATGGGTCTTGGATCGCCAGAACTTTGAGTCAGCTGAGCTTTGTGTGATAAAGTAATCCTTTTTTTTCTGAGTTCTAGTTTCCCAAGGTAAATTTCGCTGGCTGATTAGTCAGGCTAGACAATCTCATTAATGGTTATGTAAAGAAGTTAAGGTACTGGTGCCTGGCTGATTATGAATTTGTTAATTCTCAAATCTGTTTTTTGAAAACTCTATTAGGTGAAATTCTCACTGTAATATACAGAACATATGCATGACCCCAGTCAAGTCCCAGAGGGCAAACCTTTGCTTATCAACAATTATGCTTATCAACAATTATGCATTGAAATGTGTTAAAGTTTCCATGATTCCTGTAATATATAGATCATGATGTTAGGAAGCTTCTAAGTGCATCTACCTGTCCTCTCCTGATCTCTCCCCGTCTCTCTTGATTAGTATCTCTGACTGCCTCTCTGCTATTTCTAACTGGATGGCTGCCCACTTCCTTAAACTCAACTTGGCCAAAACTGAAATCCTGGTCTTTCCTCCCTCAAGTCTTGCTACTCCTGTGTCTCCCTCCCTCCAAGTCAACGGTGCTACCATCAGCTCCACCACACAGGCTCCCTGCCTAGGTGTTCTCTTTGACTCCGACCTCTCCTTCACGCCTCATGTTCAGTCTATTGCCAAATCCTGTCGTTTCCATCTCAAAAACATTGCGCGCATCCAACCCTACTTAATGCCAGATGCAACTAAGGTGCTGGTCCATTCCATTGTCCTTTCTCGCCTTGACTACTGCAATCTGCTTCTCAGTGGTTTTACGTGCTCCCAAATTGTGCAGTTACAGTCCATAATGAATGCGGCAGCAAGGCTCATCTTCCTGTGCGCCCGCACCTCCCACGCGTCACCTTTCTGTCAGTCCCTACATTGGCTTCCTGTAAGATAGAGCTCAATTTAAAATTCTGGTTCTTGCTTTCAAATCTCTACATAATGCTGCTCCCATCTATATATCCTCACTAATACACAATTATGTCCAGTCTAGGCCCTTACGATCTGCTGAAGACTTGCGTCTATCTTCTGTCTGTATTCCCACCTCTGATGCTCGCCTTCAAGACTTCTCCAGGGCTGCACCATTCCTGTGGAACTTACACTCCTTCAAAAAAATCATTAAAAACCCACTTCTTCATAAAAGCGTATCAATTAAACTGCTTCCTCTCTTGAACTGTCATTAGTTTAATACTATCCTTACCTTTTGTGTCACTTTACCCCACTCCTTCTAGCATGTAAGCTCATTGAGCAGGGCCCTCAACCCCTCTGTTCCTGTGTGTCCAACTTGTCTAGTTACAACTACATGTCTGTTTGTCCACCCACTGTACAGCGCTACGGAATTTGTTGTCGCTATATAAATAATATAATAATAAGTGCATACACATTGCAAAGGAAAATTCTTCAGTGTCCTTAAGAAGCCACTGGTAATTTGTTTTGCTTTACTGAACTTCTTCCTAATTTCAAAATTGACATCCCCTACATTTTGAGGATACTGTTTTTGGAACTTTGTTATACTAAAATAGACTTCTTGCAAGAAAATAATGTTCTCCTGAAGACATAAGTAGTAGGTTATGGCCAAGACACAATTGTAAGAGTGTTCTATTTTCTGGTATTAAGATATTAAATTAAGATCTTCACATATGGTGCACTAAAAAATGGATGCAGAGAAGATTGTCCAATATTAGCTTTAAATAGCAAGACTAGTTATGGGTCCAAAGATTGCCAGCATAAAAGTTTGATATTTGTATCCAATGACATGTAGGATTAAGAGAAATTTTAAAACCAGAATGGCTATGCAATATATATCCTCAATTTGAGTGTCTAAATATGCCCTCTTTTCTTCTGTCTCTTCATTTCCAGGAAAATTTAGTTGACATGACTTTAAAACTGAATTAGGCTGGGGTTGGGGCCTAGCGGCCAATGCCGGACGGACGCATCTCAAGTGAGCTCCGTCAATTACACTGCTCTTTAGCACTGATACTGCTGTCTATAACCACTACTGATTACCCTAATTAACCTTACGGTTCCGCTGGATCGAGTGGGGATGTCCCTAACTTAAGCATGTCCGATGTCTCTGGGTGACCACGCTGACAGAGAGCTGGCTTGGCGGCTGATCGCCGCTCCCGATCCAGCGGCTGTTTGGGGCCCAGTTTCCCCTCCTCTGGACCAGGGGGTGGTAATGCCGGTCTACTCTTTGGAGGTCCCCACAACAGGCTGAGGGCACACGGCGCTACTGCTCCATAGGCAACACTCATGCCTAAACATTCAAGATGGTGGGTGCAGTGTGCTCCCTCGATCCCTGCAGAAGATGTCCTGCAGCCATGTGTCAACTGAATGGACCTTTCGAGTCCTCTTGGGCGGTGGTGGGAGTTTGGCTGGGACCCATGGCGCCGAGTGAAACATCTAGCAGCGTACCTGAGGATTTCGGGGTGCAAGGCTGAGCGGAAGGCGGGAAACCCTTTATTGTCCGGAACCCACATGAAAGTGGACTCTGTGAGAAACCACAAGCCTCAACTGCTATCATTAAAAAGCATGGGACACTCTCCATCTTTCCTAGTGCTGGTGTTACTACCCACTGAGCTACTGCTTTATTTCTCTTTATCTACATGCAGGGCATACACTTGATGCTTAAATGGGGGCCTCCTGGGTGTCTTACTCTTTGACTAAGCTTCCTGACATGTTATAAAATTACATAATTAGCATTCATTCTCAGTGCATACGTTCTGTTAACCGATTTGTGTCTTGTTCTCATGTCTAGAACTGTGTTAATTTTGTCTGGATTTATTAATGCTGTTTCCTTATAGCTACATTGTCTGCTAAACATGATCCTTAATACTGAATTTACATTGTATGATATGGTACCCTTGTTATTGCTCAGCACAACAAAAAGAGAGAATTATAAAAAACAAAACAAAAACATGAGTGTCTTTGTAAGTGGAAATGTTTCCTGATGTGCAATTTCAGCCTGTGTGGCTGTGTTTATGTAAAGTATTAGTGTATGTCATTGTGAGCTCATGACATTCTGTGTGTGGAGTGTCAGTGTAGTTGTATGTGTGTCTTGTGTACTGTATTAGTATAAGTGCATGTGTTTCTCTGCATGCAGAGTCAGTTCATTCAAATTCCAATGTCTCTATGTATGTTTGAGTGTAGCGGTGTCTTTGTATGTGCAGTGTCAGAAAATTTGTGTGTCATTTTGTTCCTTACTCGTTCATAAAACACTCAGCTGCTAAATACATACCATTAATAAGTATACAATGACTTGAATAATTCAACTAATACTTAAGAGAACAAATCTCTTTCTTTAGAAAGAGGTGAAAAAGGTTTCTTAGTGAGGGAGAGGTCATTTTGTTTCCCATTTGAAGAATCAAAAGCATAGTTACATTGTAGCAGAGGCTGAAAAAGTAAATTCAATTCGTCCATCAAGTAAACTACTTCTTGACACCAGAATGTCAGACGGCTCTCTCCTTGGATCAAGAAGCTGTTACATCACATATTAAATATTATATCCCTCAATGTTTAGGTTTTTCAATAATTCATAGAGTTGCTGTTTAAAAATCTGTACAGACTCTGATAAAACCCCCGTTTTAGGCAGATATTTCCACACCTTTATTCTTACTTACTTTATTACTGCAAAGACCACTTTACTCTGCCTTAGACTAAAACCCCTTTCTTCGGTTCTAAATTGGTGAACTCGTATCTGATGCATAGTAGTATTTTTGAATAAATTTCCAGACAATGGTCTGTATTGGCCCAGAATCTATTTGTAGTATAATGTTATCAAATCCCCTCTGAGGCACCATTTCTCTAAACTAAACATATTTAAATTTGTTAATATTCCATCATACCTAAAAAAAATCTTTCCCCTTTATTAATTTTGTAGTCTTCCTGTGTACTCTTTCTTTCAGGTGCTTAAAATTATTCAGCATATTAAAGGTGTGGTCCAGGGCTGGGCTTGACCTCCATGCGAGCTGGTCGAGTTTTATGTGAGCTCCTCGTTCGACCACAATTGAAATGGGATAGTTTACTACACACCCCTCTAAAAGTGAATTTTCCTTAAATCCCACTTACCCTGACCAAGCTTCTCCAACGTGGAGGGGCTGACTGGTACAATTTTGGATGTCTCGACGAATTCAGCAGTGCGACCTGGGATGCAAACGGGATGGGAGAGGCGGCCGATCTTAACATGTATAGCTTGGAGGAAAGATGAGACGGGGGGATACGATAGAAACATTTAAATACATAAAGGGAATCAACACAATAAAGGAGGAGACCATATTTAAAAGAAGAAAAGCTACCACAACAAGAGGACATAGTCTTAACCCCTTAAGGACTGAGGACGGTTCAGGAATGTTGTCGGCATTTTTGCATTGCCGACCGATGATGGTCCTGAACCGTCCTAACGGTCCAATGTACTTACCTGATCGCCGTCGTTCCCCCGGCGGTGCTCCCAGTGTGGGGAGACTGCCTGCAGCACAGACAGTCTCCCTGCAGCGGATTAGGACCCCTGTGGCCATGTGATCGCTCAACAGAGCGATCACATGGTCACAATAGGTGTCCATGTGTCTGCCTGCAGGGGGACTACCTGTGCTGACAGGCAGTCTCCCTGCTAGTGTAAAATCATTAAAAAAAATAAAAGTTAATGTTAATTAAAAAGAAAAAAAAATTATATATGTGTATATATAATCTATGTATATATATCATATATATGTCATACTAAGTGTATTTTTATATTAATTTGTACATATATTAATATAAAAATACACTTATAATTAAATACGTGTGTATATATATATATAATCTATATAATAACTATATATATATTATAAAATACAAATAATAAATAGATTAAATTAAAAAAAATTAAAAATTTCTATATGAAATTTTATTCTAACTGTATTTTGATATTAAAATATATATATTTATATCAAAATATACCTAGAATGAAATTGTATATATATCTATGTATATATAAATAAATAAAAATAATACGAAATATACATATGTCCATATACAAAATTACATAAATAATTATATAAATATACACGTAGACTTCAAATATATAATATGCATATATATTTAAATTCTACATGCGTATATATGTAATATTTTTACATAATTAAGTAATTGTATTAATTGCAATTTGAGGGACCTGCCTGCCAACCCAGGCCGAAAGTCCAGAGAATTTAATTTGCTAGCACTGTATTTTACCTTGTAACTTTCTATGACACCCTAAAACCTGTACATGGCAGGTACCGTTTTACTCGTGAAACTTTGCTGAACACAAATATTAGTGATTTAAAACAGTAAAACATATCACAGCGATGATATTGTCAGTGAAAGTGACTTTTTCCGCATTTTTCACACACAAACAGCACTTTTACTGAGGATATAATTGTTGTGATACGTTTTCCTGTTTTGAAACACTAATATTTGTGTTCAGCAAAGTCTCCCGAGTATAACAGTACCCCCCATGTACAGATTTTATAGCGTTTTTGAAAGTTACAGGTTCAAATATATGGGTCAAATATTTTTACATTGAAAATGGCCAGGTTGGTTACGTTGTATTTGAGAGCGTATGGTAGCCCAGAAATGAGAACTACCCCTATGATGGCATACCATTTGCAAAAGAAGACAACCCAAGGTATTGCAAATGGGGTATGTCCAGTCTTTTTTAGTAGCCACTTAGTCACAAACATTGGCCAAAATTAGCATTCAATTTAGTTTTTTACTTTTTTCACACACATACAAATATGAACGTTAACTTTGGCCAGTGTTTGCGACTAGGTGGCTACTAAAAAAAAAACTGGACATACCCCATATTGAATACCCTGGGTTGTCTACTTTATAAAATATGTACATGTGGGGTGTTATTCAGAGATTTATGACAGATAATAGTTTTACAATGTCACTATTGATACACTTAAAAAAATATATATTTTGAAACAGCAATATCCTACTTGTACCTATAGCCCTATACCTTGCAAAAAAAAGCATGTAAACACTGGGTATTTTAAAACTCAGGACAAAATTTTGAATCTATTTAGCAGTTTTTTTTTGTAGATGAGTTATTTTTTTTAAAATAAATTACATGAGATTATATAAATAATGGTATGTAAAGAAAGCCTTTTTTGTCCTGAAAAAAACAATATATAATTTGTATAGGAACAGTAAATGAGAGAGCGGAAAATTACAGCTAAACACAAACACCACAAAAGTGTAAAAAGAGGCCTGGTCGCAAATGTACAACATCGCAAAAACAGTCCAGTCCTTAAGGGGTTAAATTAGAGGGGCAAAAGTTTAAAAATAATATCAGGAAGTATTACTTTACTGAGAGGGTAGTGGATGCATTGAATAGCCTTCCAGCTGAAGGGGTAGAGGTTAACACAGTAAAGGAGTTTAAGCATGCGTGGGATAGGCATAAGGCTATCCTAACTATAAGATAAGGCGAAGGACTAATGAAAGTATTTAGAAAATTGGGCAGACTAGATGGGCCGAATGGTTATTATCTGCCATCACATTCTATGTTTCTATATGTTTCTATAACAATTCCAACATCTCATGTGTTGTTATCCCTAATTTACTACTATCGAGGGTGTAAATATAAGAAGTTTCTGCATTCTTCACCTAAAGTGATAACTGTCAAATCTTTCTAAATCCTTCTGCAGCAAGTAATATCCTGTTCACATTGTATCTAATACCTAGTTTTGTGTCATTTGCAAACACTGACACCTAACTTTCAATGCCTATTTCAAAATAATTTTAAATAGGTTGTGTAGAAGTAGTACCAGAACAGACCCTTAGGGACACCACTGACCACTCTTGTTCAGCTTGAAATATTTTTGACAACTCTATTCTTTATCGTTAAGACAATGTTTTTTCCAAGAGCAAGAATCTTCATCTAGACCAATTTCTTTTAATTTGAACACTAGCCTATTATGTGGAACGGTATCAAATTCGTCTGATCTCTACGTTTGCTTACTTCTTCATAGAATGCAATTGTGTCAGTTTAACATGATCTAAGATTCATAAACCCTTGATGACTCCTGCTAATGAGGTTATTCCCAACCCTTCAACTATTTCAATGGCCATGAAAGTTAAGCTCACAGGTCTATATTATTGTCACACCCACCTGGAGAGTTGTGGAGCGGATGGAAGCCAATTTGCAGCAGAGCAGCACTCCCTACTAACACGACCCTTAGGACCCCCTGGAAGTGGGGACAGAGTCCCAAAGGGTCTGTGGTGGCGTGGAGGCCTTTAATAAAAAATAATTAATTTCCAGATGGCAGCAGCAGGAAAAGCAAACGAAAATGCAGTCTTGCAGAAGACAGAAGTAAACGATTAATCTGGATCTAGGTCAGGAAGCAGGCTGTTGCAGTTGTCCAAGGAATCAGGAAGCAGGAACCGGGAACAGAAGCTGGAGATTAGGACAAAAGGCAGGTATAAAGCGAAAAGCAAAATAACCAAGCACTGACTGGAAGGTGTGCTGGGTTTAGGTAGCTGGGATCATATGACCGGCCACCTCCCACCAGTAGGTGGGGCACACAGATGTTATATAAAGAGGTCAGGGACTCGGCTCCATCTTGTTTTATTCCCTTGTCCCTGACCTGTTCCTCCCCAATGGATCTGCAACTCTCCTGCTCCCTGTGAAGAACGCCGGGTCCGCATGGCGGCCGCCATCTTGCCTTGACAGCATGCTCGCCGCGGACTGCGGCGGTGAGAGGGATAGAAGGACCGCCGCAGACCCAGAAGAGGAGCTCTCAGGAGCAGTGAGAACTGTGATGCTGCCGCGAGGGCGGCGTGGGCGCCCAGGGGCAGGTGAGTACCTAGCTTTGCCATGACAATTATCTAGGTAGAAACCTTTCCTTTTCCAAACCTCCAACAACCTTCCAGTAAGAAATAAAGATTAAAAACAGAGATTCACT